AATGGACAATTTGCAGGTTATTTGTAATTTCAAATGAAATGGGTCTCAAATTAAAAAAAAAAATTCTTCTCACATTTTTGTTTACTAATTACAAAGACTGATAAGAAACTAGTCATCTATCAAATTTTATATTATACATTTCCATACATGTATACATTCATATTCACATTATAATTGCTGTATAAATATATTGATCTGATTCATTTCTTCATGAGGATATTTACCCAAAATAAAAACAACTTCTGCATCTACCTTAAATCTATTTCTACCCTCTACCTTTGCAATAACTTAATCTTATCTCTGCATCTGTCCTTGGTGGCCAAAGTAAAATCTCCCAGTGTCCTCACTCAGTCTCACTCTCTTGTGTCTTTCAGCTGTTGGACACTAAGTCCACAGACCGCACACAGACTTTGATGCACTTCATTGCAAATATGGTGCAGGAGAAATACTCCGAGCTTGCCTCCTTCCACAATGAACTCCGCTTTTTAGACAAGGCTGCTCTGGGTAAGACATACCATAGTTGCTGTGCATACTACAAACATGGGGATACATAGTCTTTTCTCTTTCTCACTCCTTTGCTCTCTCAGTGTCTTTGGACAGTGTGCTCCAGGATGTGAGATCTCTGGAGAGAGGGATGGAAGGGACCAAGAAGGAGTTCCTGGTGCAGGACGACATCCCGGCCTTGAAAGAGTTTGTTAAAGCCAACAGTGACGTATTAGACTCGCTTGTTAAAGATGGCAAGACAGCACAGGTGAGAGCACAGTGTATGTTCAACGCACGCAAACTATTTGACATTAATTCTGCTTAATTCGTTTTGCTGACTTTTTCTCTTCTGCCAACAAGGAGGCATACATGTCTGTAGTGGAGTACTACGGAGAGAATCCGAAGACGACACAGCCTTCCATGTTTTTCCCATTCTTCGTCAGGTTTATCAAAGCTTATAAAGTGAGAGATACAGCAACATTTACCCACATGTTCATGTCAACACATACACATAATAACAAAGCCGTTATTATTTGATTGTTCACATGCTTATGGGAATTGCTTAAAGTACTGTAAGTACAGTAAAGGGTTATCATGGGTAATGAAAGCTTCATTTTGGTTTTGGGAGTCCCCAACAACAGGTTGACATGCATGCAAGGTCAAAAAACACTTTAATTTTCTTATAATATGCATTTATTTTTTTACCTTATTTTGACTCCCAAACGATTCTCTCAACGATTCATTTTTCCAAACCCCTCCTTTGCGTGATGCTAATCTGCGGTGATTGGTCCGATTGGTCTCATTTCATTTCCATTTCATCATGCCTGTAATGCTTTGTGTAAAGCCGTTACCAGGGTAACAGCTATTTTTACCGCTCCAAAAGTGGCATCTAGTGGCAAAGAATGAATTTGCATTTTCATTCAGACCAATGGAGAAGGGTATAACTGCAAAATAGGGTGTGGCTTCCTCCCATTGACAGACAGGCACATGACACACATGCGCAATTTTCCCCCCAATCCACTTCAGTGCAAACTCTGCCCCACAGCTGATTCTAAAGATTTTATTGGTTGTGTCAATTAAAGTGTTGATTTCCTACACTATGCTACAAAAAATGCTATCCCCTAAACCTACCCCACACCTCACCGTAACCTTAACCAGTGAAATTGACTGCACGGCGGGATTGGCGCTGAATAGCGTGGTAAAGAAAGTTACAGTTCAGGAGACAAACAGTTAATAAGATTATGCGATGTAACTCCCCAACCGGACCTCAACGGACAATGGCACCTTTTTAGTTACACCCAGCGTCACTACCAGCTACTACCCTGCGAATTTCGAGCCCCGAGCTTTGGCCACGAGCTTTGGGCTCTGCTCTCACTGAGAATATTTATTTATATAGCATATTTTATTTTAGATGAACTAGAAACAATGTTTAATGTATAAAGTTTTATTTTGAAATGTAAGTCAATAACAATTGGCTGGAGCCAGAGCCAATGGTGAAAGTCTTTGCGCGAAGAGACCCCGCCCCATTTTGGAGGTTCTGCCCACTTTTGGAGTTCACACCCCATTTTGGAGTCTGCAGTTATCTACTTGGACCAACGCGAAAAGACCAACAAGTGGGCGGGCAATATGCTAATGTTTCATTTTGCCGTCAACATGAAACGGCTTGGGATTCGTTTTAAAAAACGACTCATTTAAATAATTCAGAGTCGACTTTCTTTCGAGAGACAATAACTTTATACATGGTACACTTTCAGATTTAAAACTTTGCAGGATGTTTTCAATCACTTAGAGCTGTGTTATACGCTGCATGAAAGGTAATTTTCAAAAATCCATAATAGGGGCACTTTAAAGGAGCTGTGCTCTACACAATGAGCAAAAATACCGCAAGCATTTCACCAATTTATTATTAATTACTGTGGTGTATTATTGTGTCACACAACAGAAAGCAGAACAAGACAATGAACAGAAGAAGAAACAAGAGCTTGCAGCAGAAGAACAGGCAACCCCTTCCCCAAAGAAGAAAGATAGCAATCCTCAAAAGGTTAGAAAAGTGTAATTCTAAAATATGTTTGTAATTTTATTCATAAAATATTTGTTGAATATATCAACTATTTAGTTATTTTATTTAAATAAAGCATTGACTGGAACTGCACACCTGAAGTTATTCCCCTGAAAACTTTTCCCTACTATGATCAGGGTCCCATGATGCCCAAAATGCCTCAGATGGACCTGATTGCAGAGCTGAAGAAAAGACAGGTGAAGCCTCAAGTCACAGACGGGGCCATCGAGGGCATTATAACAGGTAAAAATGTTACAGATATACAGCCAAAATAGTCGTCATGTCAATATATACCTTAAGGACATTCCTTATGGTGTAAACTGGCAAGTGCGATTGGCCATGTACTACCCTATAATCTATATATTTTTAAGAATTTGAATTGTATTTTTCATTTGTCTGCGTCAGATTTGAGAAATTCACCCTACAGAAGAGGTGATGGTCGGAGAGCAAATCCACGACAAGACAACTGAGGGTTACCTACAGAGACTTCTCTCCTTCCCACCAGACACTTCTGTACTTAACACCTGGTCTTATTCTTTATATACATAATAAAACATTTTCAATCTGTACAGCGATACAGAAAATGACTGCCAAACACACAACAGATGCTGTACACAAACAAAGAGTCACACTAACAGACACCCATCATCACACACGCTTGCATATATGCTCTGATACACATAACCCTTTGAGAATGTTTAAAATAATTGTACATAAGGCACAAAAAGGATTTTTGTACCATCGCATATGCTCCTGAATATGTAAGCAATTCCTTGAGCTTCAATTTTCCCGTTTTGCTGTGTTTATATTGCTAAAGAAATTGTAAAAAGTGCTCATAGATGAAGGCACTTTTAATACAGCCTGATAATAAGAATTCTTAGATATTTGAATAAAACAGTGAAAACCTTGTACAGTAAGACACATTTCATTCATTATGAGAAACCAAAAAAAGACAACTTAGAAATATTGTCATAGAAGAGAGCTGTACTTTATTAGACACACAACCACAGCAAGTATGTACAAAAGGTCTCAGCTCTCAACGAATTCTCACAGGAAAAAAAATTATTCTCACAAAGTTATCATGGCATCCACACTGATAAATTAATTTATTTTTCTTCTGTGTCTATAGGTGCTTATATATCTTATTTGTATATAGAGTGATTCTCAGTTGGTATATTACTCTACTCTAGAGATGGGAGGGTCACAGCGTGGGCTAAGGGCTCGCACCATTACTAGTGCGCTGATGGTCAGAGCTGAGTTTAACCTGCTCAGTAAAACACACTCAGAGCTTGCCACTCAAGTCTGGTTACCACATCACCACAGGTTACATTAAGACTGGACATGCCTGAGCCACAAAGAAATCAGTCATAGAAAAAGTCACTTTGACTCTACAGCTGTGAACCTCATATCAGTGCACTTGACCTCACTATTCTCTCCATTAAAAAAAAAACCACGTAGATAACTTTGTTTTTTAAAATCATCTGCACCGTGCGATTGCTTTTAGAATTTACATGCATTGCTGTAATTATTTTTTATATTTTTTAAAACTTTTAATATATACCTTATAACTCCATCTTTTAAATAAAACTTTTTTTTCTGGACATAATTTTGTAGGACTCTCTAATAATTACGGTTTTATTTACACGCTATAGTCTTTTCATACTTTTTTCCCTTTGACTCTTTTCGAGTATTTTATTAGGACTAAAGAGCTCTGGTAAAATAGTCTACATAAAGATGTTCCATCATAGAATGTGCTTTCTCCAAATTACTCTGTTATTTTTGGCCTGGTAAACCAGACATAAAAGCAGAAGCATCCAGCTCCTCCTATTTCCTGCAGTCTTTCCGGGGGAAACTCTTAACCTGCAACTCAAAATTAGTATAATGTGGCAGAAACACTTGTGCAACTGTTTCCTTGACCAAGGCATTTGTACATTGACAGTTTAAACATCTGTTATTCAGTAGTGAAATGAAATTGCAGACTTACTCCCTACCACTAGAGGGCAGAAGAGGGCCGTGACAGTTGCCATTATCCACATTGTTCATTTCGCTCAAAGCAAACAAATTAAGAGTTAGCAAATGACATTCTCAGGTCACAATACAGATTAGAGCTTCATACGTATCAGCAATGAACCCTATTTTCACTCGGATCACATTAATTAAATTCATTTGAATGGCTAGCTGGATAAAGGCTTTTTCAGAATCACCCAACACTTAAAACAACTCAGAAAATAACAAAATATCAACCTGTGGTTAGATGCAGCTATACTTTATACATGAACTGGGCTGTACAGAGTAATATTTTCAACTCAATATACAAAACACTTCTCTTATGAATAAATAATTTTCTAGTGTGCTATATATTTCCTCAGGATTACAAAAACAAAAATATGTACAAATAAATCTGTTAATATAAAATCAACAAACAAAAAATATAGAAACACAAATCTCGCATCATACATTTTTTTTTTACCAACCATGTTGAGAGAAAAATAAATGACTAACTTTAAAGATGTATTTAAATATGATGTCTGAGCTGTTATCTTACCATGTTTTGAGAGAGAAAGATTCTACTTCAAAAAGGGAGATTTCACCACCTTCCTACATTTATCCATCGCAGTCTCTGAGGGGGTCAAGAAAGTATTTTCTTAGCCGTGGCTTTACTAAGAGGATGAAGTGTACTTCCTGACAGGAAGTGCTGTAGATTCTTACCATCTCCATTCAAGCACGAAACCCGCTTCTCGTTTCTGCGAAACTGTAGCCGCAAGGGTAACGGTTTGAACATTTGAGAGTGCTCACTGCAGCACCAATTGCTAAATTGGTCTCATTTGCTAGTTTGTAATAATAGTTCGGTCTGGGTCCTTAAATAGATCGAGCTGTGAATTTGATGCTTGCTGTGAACTTTCCAGACAAATCTAGAGTGTAAAGAATCTGGAGTATAAATCAAGTTTTAATCATTTTAACAAAAGTAATTTTAAGGAATTTGCAAGCCACTGCTCAACTTTTTGTGTAACTAGCTGATCCAGGCATGAATTACAAATTAAGCGTTGTTTTCTCTTTTATTCACAGATGTTAAATTCAAACAACATGGCTTAAATTAAGGCATTTCCGAGCATGCAGCAGCCTAAGCTTGACCTTTTTGCCTCTCGCAGCACCTCCCACGTGAATTATTATACATTTCGGACATGAATTACAGGCCGATTTGGCTGCGAGACACGGAGTAACACCACTAATCTCTCCTCTGACCATTTACTCTTGACGTCGACCTAGTGCTTAAGCCATTATTTTAAACCCCGCACCACAAGCAATCAATTTCACACATTCGTTTCGTCAGAAAGCTGGAAAAATCTCCCCTCTTGCTCTATTCATCTCATTCTATTCCACTCTCACTCACCTTTTACACATTTAAATTCTCTGGGCTCATGAGGAAACCTGCAGGTTGTCGCATTGACAAATTCACAACATAGGAATACCCTTGTGAGAAGAAAAAAATCTTTATCTGTGAGTGTGTGTGTGTGTGTGTGTGTGTGCGCGTGAATGTCATGAATGAGAAAAGAAGATGGGTGGGCAGAACCAGAGCCTCAATGACCAAAAAAAGGATGCTCTTGCGTTTTAGTATTATGACTGTGGAGAGCAATGAAACCAAAGAACGGATGTGATATTCATATTTGTACCACCATTCTAGGTAATCATAAACTGGCATACATTACCTTCTAAAAATGATAGTGAATCTAAGTGTCTGTGGTTTGACAGAAAAGTAAGCGGAGGGTTTGACTGGCTCATTAGAAGAAAGGATGAGTTGGAATGCTTTACCGCACAGATGTCTTCCACTCGATGGATCACGTCCACGGGTATACGTGCTGTGGAATTACCCTCAGTCTTCTTGCTTGTGCAACCCCTACATGGTGAACCTAACCATCTGTTTGTTCATTTTAAATTGGAATTCGGTTTCACAATCTGGGAGGCCCAAAGGTTAAGACAGATTGTGCCAAATGTTTGATGATTGTCAGATTATTGTACTTTCTCTAGCTTCTTGTGCTTCTTTAATGACAAGAACAGGGGAGTATCCTATATCCTTATGTAGGAAAACTGTGACTGTTAAGAACTTAAGAAAACAATCGCCTAACAACACCATCCCATAATAAGTGATTCAAAAAGCAGGCAGCCCTCCACTTTCCCACAATTCCTCTGTTGCCATGACAACTTGTGCTAAGTTACAGCAAACATGTAAAATGGCTGTATGAAGACCTATTTGAGTGCAAATGAGAACAAAAATAGACTCTTAGGCAGTGTATGTATATCAAAGGAATAGTTCTTTGGAAAATGAAAATTCTGCATGATTTGCTTTCTTCTGTAGAACACAAAAGAAGATATTTTGAAGAATGTTTTTGTCCACACAATTAAAGTCAGTGGAGTCCGAAGCAATGTATAGACCCCAGTGACTTCCATTGTATAGACAATAAACCAAGACATTTGCAACAATACAAGAATGAGTAGATCATGACAGAACCTTCATTTTTAGATGAACTATCCCTTTAAGGGGGTGTATAATCATCAACATGTTCATCATAGCACCAATTTCAGTTATTTTCCTTTAGTAGTAAGACTGATAGCCAAAATCTACATTAGAACGAGTGATGCTGCCTTAACATTAAGCTTTTGCTGTTATTTTTTTAACATTCCTTTCGTTGATATAGATATGAGCAATAAAACTTCTTGACAAACACCGACTACTACAGTACTCACTTTCGATTATTGCAACTCTACTTGGTTTTACATAGTCTTACAGTCTTGATTTTACACTTAATGGACATCTACCGAACTCAGCTAGATCTCCAACATGTGAGATTTGGCAAATGAATGAGGGTTTGGGTTTGGTCCTTCCCCAGGCCTCCCGTGGGTGGTGTGATGCTGGCTGTGCAGTGGAGCTGGAAACAGGCTGGTGGTGAGTGTCCAAGCCCATCTGTTGGTTCTCTAGTTTGGGGAACTGGCAGAAACACAGAGTAGGTATGGTTTACAGTTTGGATCGGTTCACAAACTGAAGAAGAGTGAACCTATGATGCAAAGCGGTAAGTCATCCGCCTCCGTGCCCTACGTCACTGTTCTCCGCAAGGCGTCTTGGTAGGGATAGTCAGGGAAACAAAACACTTTAGAAACGAAGCCTCCAAAAAAAACTTTCTTTTAGGTTAGTAACATTTAAATTCATCTACTTGCGCTGTCCACATCCTATATATGGATCATTTCCAGCCACATCCTCCTTAATCACTATCGTCTGGAGTCGCCGTCTTGGGTTCAGTCTTGTTCCGCTCCAAGGTGCCGGTGGCGGAGGGTTTCAGGGCCAGCGAGGACGGACTCAGTGAGGTGAGAGCGGAGGGAGATGAGGGTGAGGAAGAGGAAGTAGGCGAAGTCGGAGAGGGAGGGGAGCGGCCATTGGAGATGGGAAGAGGAAGGCTTGAGGAGTTGAAGTTCTGCTCTCTGAGAAACCGGTGTTGTCTTAAGGTGGATGACAGGAGTGCCTCAGCCGAGAGGCTGGATGCGGAAAGGCTAGCCAGAAGCGCTTTGGCCTGGTTGGAGGAGGCTGTCAAGGAGGACAGTGCCCCCTCCTGGGGGTACTTTCCCAATCTGGAGGGCAGGTGGCCGGAGAAGCTTGCGGCTCTGGTGCTTGCGAGGAGCAACTCGGCTGCTCTGGCTCTGCTGATGTTCAGACTCAGAGCCTGAGGGGGTGGGTGTTGAGGGCAAAAGTAGGGGGGATAAAGGACAGAAGAGTGGGTAGAGAAGAACAGAGTAAAAACTAAGAACATTTTTGGAGGCTTTTAAGGTTTGATTTGGCTGCAATACGTCAATCTCTCTCACAATACACTTTCTCTAAGGAATGAATGAGGCTCTGGTGAATATTGACAGCTGCATGATGTTTTTTCCTTAATAGTATACAGGGTTGACTAGGAGGAACTGGGTGAAGGATTGTGGGCTTCAGTCAGGAGATGCTGTTGAAGAAGTGGTGGTGAAGACGGCAGAGGAGGAGGTGGACAAGCTTCGGTCAGGTCAGGTTGGTTTGGGTCGCTCGCTTCTGCTCACTGGGTCAAGGAGTTGGACGTGAATGGTTGCCATGAGGGCCGACGAAGGATGGCAGGTAGTGGTGACAAAGAGGAAAATGCAAGAGGAAGGGGACAATGGGAGGAAGGATGGAGACAACCACAGGACAATGTTATTCAGGTTAGGATCATTCATGCATGATGCTAGCCTGGTACACAGCTCTACATGTGGATTTCACCACATGAGGGCGAATCCATGTACATTTATAACACCCACAATGCATTATGCTAGAAGAAACTAACCATTTGACAAGATCTTGGTGGGTTTATTGAACATGAGCTTATATGCGTCTCTATTACCATCAGTCACTCACAAACACTCTTTCAGTTCCTGTGTGACAGGACGCTGAAAGAGTTCCATTGAGATCTGCTCAAACTCTAATCAGTTGTGAGGGAGATGGATGGACAGCACGGATACAAGGAGTGAAGAGGAGAGAGCGATGAGGGTGAAGAGAGAGCCCATGTCTTTCCACATGAAGTGCCAATTATTCCACCCTGATAGAGCAGAAAAAGACTCTCCATCTCTCTCTCGCCCGTATCTCTCTTCCCTTTAACCTTCTCCCTCTCTTTCATTTCTCTCACTCTTTTCCAAACCTGCTGGCCCATGTCCTTTTCAAAGAGCCTTCTCAAAAAGTCCCTGGAGAACACAACTATGATGGAGATTAAAATAGCTACTGCTTTTGCACAGTTATAAGGAATACATTTCCCTTTTGGCCATTTCCCACTTACTTTCTCTGCCCTTTTAAAATGTATGTGCCACAAGCTCATGTAATTGAGAATAGACACAAAGCTGTTGAAGGAAGTCATTTGTGAAATGAAAATGGGTGCTAGGGGGTACACAAACAACTTCAGATAGAGATAAAAAAAGATACATTTACGAAATATGTGTAACAATTATTATTATTTTTTTTTTGCATTTACTAAATTGAGAAAACCAATTTTGTCTGCAAAAGAGTTTTTGGGAAAATACTTTATTTTAAAGTCCAATTCTCACTATTAACAAACCATTAACTAAGAATTTTTCCTCAGTAAACTCCTAATTTGCTGCTTATTAATAGCTAGTAAGGTAGTTATTAAGTTTAGGTATTGGGTAGGATTAGGGATGTAGAAAATGGTCATACAGAATATGTGCTTTATAAGTGCTAATAAACAGCCAATATGTTAATAATTGGTATGCTAATAAGCAACTAGTTAATAGTGAGAACTTAAGTGTTACCAGAAAAAACAATTTTTTTACAAGACCCTTCAAAAGTTAGGGGTCAGTTCGTTTTTTGGGGGGAAGAAGTTAATACCTTCATTTAGCAAGGAGGATCCATGTGACAGTAAAGACGTATAATGTTACAAAAGGTTTCTGTCTCAAATAAACATTGTTCTTTTGAACTTTCTATTCAAAGAACCCTGAAACATGCATTACAGTTTCTACAAAAATATTAAATAGCAACATTGATGATAATAATAAGCAATAGTTCTTGAGCACCAAAAATATTAGAAATATTAGAATGACATCTGAAAGATCATTAGACACTGAAGTAATGGCTGCTAAAACTACATTTTAAAATATATTAACAGAAAACTGTAATTTTAAAATGTAATATATTGCATTTTTGATCAAATAAATGCAGACTTTGTGATGATCATAAGAGACTTATTACCAACCCAAACTTTTGAAAGGTGGTGTACATATCATTTACAATAAGTCCAATAAAGACAGGCACAAGAGGTCAGAAATTGCAAGTGAATCAGACCAAAAGAGAGCAGTGATGTGTTAATTTACTTTAAGCAGTCAGGGAGAGCAATCATTTTAAAGATGAAGTCTTTTGAGAGAAGGCTATACAAAACTAAATAAAATGTGGATGAGGCCGTGAGGCACAGTAAAAGGCACAGCAAGCAGAAAAAAATCCAAAATGAAATGATGAGAGTCCGGGTGAAAAGATGAGTGTGCATAAATGTTTGTATCCATTTGCTGCTAAGAGGGTTAAGACAAAAAGGAGATATACGCAGTCCACTTCAAAGGGAATAATTAGCTGTTACACTGACGAGACTAAATCCTGATCATATCCAGCTTAGCAGGAGTGCCTATAACAGCAAATATGCTCTCCTGTAATTATAGTTGCAATGAACCCTCTGATCTTGCTCGCTCTCTTGCCAATATCTGCTTCTCTCTTCCTTCCCCATAAAAGATTAGATTATTTTCTAATATTCATGGCCTGTTGAACAGGGGCCAGATTTATTAAACACAGAATGAGGAGATTTACAGAGCACCAGCATATCTATCTTCTCCTTACCTACAGCACACAGGCCCATAGCTGTCTGTGTGTGTGCGCGTCTTTTTCTCCCTCTAATCCATCTTTCAAACCCTCCCCTGTTTTCTCCACCTGTCTCATTCCCTTCTCTTATGTTGTAGAGCTCACATTTCCCTAGTCTCTGGCTTCATGCTTTCTCTCTCCCCCTTCTCCTGAGACCCACCTGTCTCTGGTTTCTTTGTTCTGTTAAGAGGGTTTTAAGTGCACTTTAGAGTCCCAAATGTTCTGCGATTGACGCTCCGATTCAGTTTTTCAAAGTGTCACTGCTAGAAAGTTCTCTCCCAGCCTCACTTCACTTGTGACTGACACACACAGACAAACACGCGCATATACACACACATCTCTCCTAAGGCTCTCGGCAATAGTCTGAGCTGTGGAATCTGAGCTCTGAAATGCCCTCAGACAGACATTATGAATTGGTTTCAAGCAGAAAATGATCTTCTTAGCTTTCAGCAAACCATTTTAAAAGTTAATACAAACTTACACAACAGTAAAGCTAAGAACAAGTTCTAAGAACCAGTTTAAAACCATGTTCCATGTTAAACCAAGACTGAAAAAAGAACAAACCAAATAGAGACCAAGACTACAGATAGACTATGACTAAACTGGGACCAGACTAAGCCTAAAATCAACACTTAGGCTAGATTAAGACTTGACCAAAACTCTAACTAAAACTAAATACAAGACTAAGACCAAGTTATTTTAGGCTAAACTAACAACAAACCAAAACTAAGATTAAAGATAGACCAAAACTAGACTGGGATTAGGCTAGGCCTAGATGTATTTGAATAGATTTGAAATAGACGTTTACATACCCTTTGCAGAATATGCAAATATGTTAATAATAGTTATGCAAATATGTTAAAATAAGAGGGATCATGAAAATGCCATGTTATTTTTTTTATTTTGTACTGTCCTGAATAAGCCAATTCACATAACAGATGTTTATATTTACTTCACAAGAAAAAAGAGCCAGAGGGTGTAAACTTTTGAACAGGGCGATGTATACATTTTTCTTATTTTGTTTAAAGATCTTTTTTTTTTCATTTAGCACTGCACTTCAGAAGCTACATAAATACTTGCATGTTTCCCAGAAGACAAAATAAATACAATTTACCCTGATCATCCAATTCAAAAAGTTTACACCCGCCGATTCTTAATGCATTGTGTTGCCTTCGTAAGCATCTGTAATTGTTTTCACCTTTTGTAATAGTTAAGCATGAGTCCCTCAATTGTCCTCAGTGTGAAAAGATGGATCTCAAAATCATACAATCATTGTTGGAAATAATTCAAATATACAGATGATGCTGGAAAACCAAAGAATGTGCAGGAGCTGGAGGAGAATAGGAGGCAGTTTAATCATCCAGGAAACAACACACAGTATTAAGATTCATTTTCAAGGTCATTTTTATAAATTCCATTATTATTTTGTCTTGTGGAGTATATATAAACATCTATTATGTGAAATAGTTTATTCAGGACAGTCCTAAATACAGAATATTATGCAATGTTCATGATCCCTCTTATTTTGTTAAAATTATTGTCATTTTGCATATTCTGCAAGGGGTATGTAAACTTCTGAGCAAAACGATAGCTAGATAGATAGATAGATAGATAGATAGATAGATAGGAATGACAGAACAATACACTGAATAATAGAAACAAAGATAGAACCACAGAATGATGGATAACCATGGAATGATAGAACAACTGATATATAGGACAACAGACAGACACAAAGACAGATCATACCTGCTGTTGACCCTGGTTCTTAAGGAAGTCCTCTCTCTGTTTGCTTGTTTTGCTCTTTTCTAATCCGCTCTGCTGCAGGTGCTTGAGACGAGACAACGCCTTTCCACCGCCAGTCTGAGAAGGATGAGAGAGAAGAGGAGATAAATCTGTGCACTATATTTGGTAATATTTTCCATCCAATTTCCAACAGTGTATTTGCCATCACCAGCAGTCAAAGGAAGTGCTGGAGGAGAATAGTGTGCAAGACAGGCAGGAGGGTGATGTGTTTTTAATAGAACACATGCATCTCAGCACACTCCTCTCATTCATTCTCACACACACAGACACATATTACCTATAATTTCTTGTATTAAATTCAGAAAATATAAATTATACGCCTCTGCACGTATGTTGACAAAAGCTCTCAGTGCAATACAAAATAATGAACGCTTTCTCTAGTCTTTTTTCTCTCTGCATATATTACCTACACAAGATCAAGCACTAGACCAAAGTCTAAGTCTAGTGTGTGTTTTATGCAAATGAGCTCCTCACTGAACGAGGGGCTCTGTAAGAGGATCTAATGCTTGCAATCAGGTGGACCTGCGGTTGGCAGGCTCCATCTGTCCTACGAGAAAATTGTGCAACGACCTAGGGCAACGGGCTTGAGCACACCAGTTAGGAGGGGTGATGCAATGCTGGCTTGTATACAAATGTGTGGGCTGAAAGCAACACAGTGGAAAACACAAGTGACTTCATCCAAATCCTTCCCTTCTGTCACTCACAGAGATCAGCCCTGTTCTCAGCGGAGCTGAGTAATACACATGACGTCTGGTGGATCGCTGCTTCATAGCGGTTTATCCTGACAACTAGTCTCTGAAGATGAAAGAAAAATGCAAGAGGAGACAATACTGCATAAATTACGCAACAAAATCACTTGAGTAGTTACGAAGAGCTTCCCTGGGCTTTATCTTTTTACTTTACGAGAAAACCACATATAATGTCTTATGTACCAGAGGAAAATAAGACAAGGGGAAAGTAATCAAATTGCAAAGTCATTTTGAGAGGAGAAAAAAAAGAGTAGGCTAATAAAGAAGAGGAGGAAACAAGAGAATTTATTGTGCGAAAGATACAATATGTATTTCTACAGAGGCTGGAGGCAAACAATTTATCAAAGCATTTGCAAAAGAGAACAAACTGATCTAGATGAGCAATCCAGCGGATGATACCAAAAACCTTCCACCAGACAGGAAGAAAGAAGATGGAAAAGACAGAAAGACCAGGGCTGAAGAAGATACTGAAGGTTAGGTTGAACCTTGGCTGTGGATGTGCTGATGCAGGACGGTTTAGGTGGGACAGCGGGTTTGTTTGTGTCTCCTCCGTCTGCTGTATGTCGAGTGCTGCCGGATCTCTGTGTCTGGATGGACGCTGGGAAGATATTCCCTGTGTGAGGATCAGTGCTGAACTCCATCAGGCTGAGCTCCAGCTCACGGATGGTTTCCTCCAGACTGTCCAGACGACGGTACGTGCTGTGGCAGATGTCTTCCTTTTCCCCTCCAACGCCTTGAGTGCGGATCAAACCCACTTGAGATGTCTCCATGGGCCCGTTTTGCGGCGAGACAGACAATGCAGTGTCCGACTTTCTCGTTCGCTCTTCTTTCTTTCCTGTCGCTGCCTCGAGAGACTTCTGAACCCTTGGCTCCCTCCTCAGGGGCTGTTTAATTGCTCTCTCGCTTGTTAAGGGCGGGCACGACTGGGTCACATCCTGGACAGGACTCTGGAGCTCCCTCTGGGCTGCATCCAAGTCTTGTGATCGAGGGACTTTTTGGCTGGCTGACAAGTCTTGTTTCCATAGCGGCAGACGGGGAGTCCTCACAATATGGCTGAAGTAACTTACTCTGATGTCATTTCCAGTGTTATTGTCTTTAACTGTCTGCATGCTGTCAGACCACCGGGTCTCTGCTGAGTCCTCAGAGGGGGACATGGGGAGAGAGTTACACTCGGTTAAGACTATCTGGGGAACTGGAGTGGAGGACATCCTGTGCTGCATCTGCAATTTAGCAGGAGTAATTTGTATACTTAACCCATGAATGTGAACCATAAATGTATGAAGTTGTAAGGTTAATGTAAAGGTGGCAAAAATAAACTTACCAGAGAGTTCTCTGTAAAATCACTGAAGTGATCATCACCACCCTTAGCTGCGATCAACTGTTGGCAAATATGTAGCATAGCACACATACAATTACAAAATTTAATAAAGAAATCACAAATATTTAAATGCGTTCAACCAAGAATAGTTCACTCAAAAACCATTCAGTCCTCATTTACTTTTACTTATATTATTTACTCTTTTTCATGTAATTACAATGTTTCAATGTCTGAATTCAAAAAATGCAAAAGAACTATAAAAATAGTCAATTTGACTCATGCTAGTCTTTCTTCGTGAGGAACTGACTGCAATCTACATAGTTATTCACTAATAATCTTATCCTCTATTTTAGTTGATAAAGGGATAGTTCACCCAAAAAGTAAGACGTTCATCTTTAGAACACAAATTAAGATATTTTTGATGAAATCTGAGAGAAATCTTTCTGACCCTGCATAGACAGCAACACAACTGACATGTTCAAGGCCCAAAAAGGTAGTATGTATGTACATCGTTAAAAGAGTCCATATGACATCAGTGGTTCAACCGCAGTGTTATGAAGCTACGAGAATACTTTTTGTGCACAAAGAAAACAAAAATAACTTATAACAACTATAAAAAAATAACTATTCAACAATTTCTTCTCTTCAACACACATGCATTGTGGTACTCTCATGAATGGCGGCAGACTGACCCAGAAGAGAAGAAATTGTCAAATACATTTATTATTTATTTTTTTTGTGGACAAAAAATATTCTCGTAGCTTTATAAAATTACGGTTGAACCTAGGGCTGCACAATTAATCTAAATTAAATCGCAAAGGCAATAAATCGCGATTAGGCAGAAGCTGCCATTTTCATGCATATCTTTCAGTGAAGCACAGTTCTGTGATCAGTAGTAAATCTCCATCCGAAGGCCAGAAGACGCTCTCGTGCTGAAAATCCAAATATGCCCCGAAGAAGAAATCGCTGCAGCTGAATAAACAGAAGATTTAACTGCTTTCATTGATTCAATGTGACTAATAAACACACGACTACGGCAATATTTGGTTTATCTGAGTTCTTATTATTATAATTTTCATCATAATAAAGTATATCTATAATGAAATGCTAATCGACATAGACATTATCACTGCTTAGAATACAATGAAATATTGTGTACCTTAATTATTCTGTTTAAGAAGCCACATCATCTCACAGAAGGATTTATTTCAAACACTCGACTGAAGTTATAAAGTGAGTTTGGAGTAAAAACGTTATTAAATGTGGTATTTTCACGTGCTCTCGTGCTCTCAGGCATTTACTTCACAGAGCCGTCGTTCACTGAGAAGATACGCAAACAGCTGTCATTATCGTGAACGATTTCACGATTTCAATACTCCCATGATTATATCGTCTGCGATTATGAACGCGATTTTGCATAGCTTGTCAGAAAACTACGGCTCCACCTGAAAGCAGGTGATGGAGATTTACTACTAATCACAGAACCTGCTTTACTGACAAAATGTGCATGACAATCGCCTGCTGTATGTCGAGTGCTGCCGGATCTCTGTGTCTGGATGGACGCTGGGAAGATATTCCCTGTGTGAGGATCAGTGCTGAACTCCATCAGGCTGAGCTCCAGCTCACGGATGGTTTCCTCCAGACTGTCCAGACGACGGTACGTGCTGTGGCAGATGTCTTCCTTTTCCCCTCCAACGCCTTGAGTGCGGATCAAACCCACTTGAGATGTCTCCATGGGCCCGTTTTGCGGCGAGACAGACAATGCAGTGTCCGACTTTCTCGTTCGCTCTTCTTTCTTTCCTGTCGCTGCCTCGAGAGACTTCTGAACCCTTGGCTCCCTCCTCAGGGGCTGTTTAATTGCTCTCTCGCTTGTTAAGGGCGGGCACGACTGGGTCACATCCTGGACAGGACTCTGGAGCTCCCTCTGGGCTGCATCCAAGTCTTGTGATCGAGGGACTTTTTGGCTGGCTGACAAGTCTTGTTTCCATAGCGGCAGACGGGGAGTCCTCACAATATGGCTGAAGTAACTTACTCTGATGTCATTTCCAGTGTTATTGTCTTTAACTGTCTGCATGCTGTCAGACCACCGGGTCTCTGCTGAGTCCTCAGAGGGGGACATGGGGAGAGAGTTACACTCGGTTAAGACTATCTGGGGAACTGGAGTGGAGGACATCCTGTGCTGCATCTGCAATTTAGCAGGAGTAATTTGTATACTTAACCCATGAATGTGAACCATAAATGTATGAAGTTGTAAGGTTAATGTAAAGGTGGCAAAAATAAACTTACCAGAGAGTTCTCTGTAAAATCACTGAAGTGATCATCACCACCCTTAGCTGCGATCAACTGTTGGCAAATATGTAGCATAGCACACATACAATTACAAAATTTAATAAAGAAATCACAAATATTTAAATGCGTTCAACCAAGAATAGTTCACTCAAAAACCATTCAGTCCTCATTTACTTTTACTTATATTATTTACTCTTTTTCATGTAATTACAATGTTTCAATGTCTGAATTCAAAAAATGCAAAAGAACTATAAAAATAGTCAATTTGACTCATGCTAGTCTTTCTTCGTGAGGAACTGACTGCAATCTACATAGTTATTCACTAATAATCTTATCCTCTATTTTAGTTGATAAAGGGATAGTTCACCCAAAAAGTAAGACGTTCATCTTTAGAACACAAATTAAGATATTTTTGATGAAATCTGAGAGAAATCTTTCTGACCCTGCATAGACAGCAACACAACTGACATGTTCAAGGCCCAAAAAGGTAGTATGTATGTACATCGTTAAAAGAGTCCATATGACATCAGTGGTTCAACCGCAGTGTTATGAAGCTACGAGAATACTTTTTGTGCACAAAGAAAACAAAAATAACTTATAACAACTATAAAAAAATAACTATTCAACAATTTCTTCTCTTCAACACACATGCATTGTGGTACTCTCATGAATGGCGGCAGACTGACCCAGAAGAGAAGAAATTGTCAAATACATTTATTATTTATTTTTTTTGTGGACAAAAAATATTCTCGTAGCTTTATAAAATTACGGTTGAACCTAGGGCTGCACAATTAATCTAAATTAAATCGCAAAGGCAATAAATCGCGATTAGGCAGAAGCTGCCATTTTCATGCATATCTTTCAGTGAAGCACAGTTCTGTGATCAGTAGTAAATCTCCATCCGAAGGCCAGAAGACGCTCTCGTGCTGAAAATCCAAATATGCCCCGAAGAAGAAATCGCTGCAGCTGAATAAACAGAAGATTTAACTGCTTTCATTGATTCAATGTGACTAATAAACACACGACTACGGCAATATTTGGTTTATCTGAGTTCTTATTATTATAATTTTCATCATAATAAAGTATATCTATAATGAAATGCTAATCGACATAGACATTATCACTGCTTAGAATACAATGAAATATTGTGTACCTTAATTATTCTGTTTAAGAAGCCACATCATCTCACAGAAGGATTTATTTCAAACACTCGACTGAAGTTATAAAGTGAGTTTGGAGTAAAAACGTTATTAAATGTGGTATTTTCACGTGCTCTCAGATGGAGCAGCATTTACTTCACAGAGCCGTCGTTCACTGAGAAGATACGCAAACAGCTGTCATTATCGTGAACGATTTCATTGATTTCATACTCCCATGATTATATCGTCTGCGATTATGAACGCGATTTTGCATAGCTTGTCAGAAAACTACGGCTCCACCTGAAAGCAGGTGATGGAGATTTACTACTAATCACAGAACTGGCTTAACTGACAAAATGTGCATGACAATCGCGATTAATCGCGTACGATTAATCGTGCAGCCCTAGTTGAACCCCTGATGTCACATGGACTATTTTCTTACTTCTTACTCTTATGTTCTTACTACCTTTCTGGGTCTTGAACATGTTAGTTGCATTGCTGTCTATGCAGGGTCAGAAAGCTCTCGGATTTCATAAAAAATATCTTAATTTGTGTTCTAAAGATGAACGAAGGTCTTATGGGTTTGGAACGACATGAGGGTGAGTAATTAATGACAGAATTTTCATTTTTGGGTGAACTAACCCTTTAACTTGTGACTGAATCATTGAGTCAGTGAGCTGAGCTCGAGAGCGTGATTCGTGAACAAATCATTCAGACTAGTTTTGTGAAACGGATTAATTGATTCAAAGAAATAACGAAAATAATTCTAAAGAATTAATTACAAACCAGCTATTCCTCTCATGAACTTACATTATTATTACTTTTAGTATTTAAAAATATTCTGGAATTAGACGACTTGGAATATGGACTACATTTATGTTATCTTTAATGCTTTTGCATACTTTTTGAATATTGAACGTTTCGGTCCCCAGTCATATTACTTCATGAAAAAGAGCATAGTAAAACAAAACGTCTCCTCCTTTGTTCCTCAGAAGAAAGTCATATGGTTTTGGAACGACATGAGGGCAAGTAAATGATGATAGAACATTCATTTTTAGGTAAACTATTCCTTTAAAGATCACAGAGCTTTGCTTCTGTGCTCACTTAAAAATGTAAAAACAGCAAAATGAAAAAATCTGGGCAAAGAGCTACCACATTGCAATATCAAACCACTTTTAGCTTCAGTGGAAAAAATTAGAAATTGGGCATTTCAACACAAAACAGTCATGCACTGGCAAGTGCACACAAACACACACACAATGTACAGTATGTGGTGATTGTGTATTTGTAATATGGGAATATCAAAGAGCATCCTTGGTCTTTAGTTTGAGTGCAGTGAGTTTTCTTTGTCTATATTGGAGTATGACTAACATTTTAAAGGGAAACATATAGATTCATGTGTGTGCATGAGTGTACAACAGCAGTCCACACTAGCTCGCAGCAGGGGTTGTTACCTGTCCAGACGAGGACACATGGGGCAACAGCTGTAAACTAGAGGGAGGAGGATATTTCCTGGGAGAGGGCAGGGGCAGAGTCAAATGTCGCTCAAAGAGCTGAGCGTCAGGGAGATTGAAGAGAATGAATGAAAAATATGGGATGCACAATATCAGTTCAGACCATGACATTTCAGGATTTCCCATGAAAAGCTCTAAAGACTCTGAAACTCAATCATTTAGGTTATGCACATTCACATACTGTACAGAATTGTAATCCCATAATTTATTCAATCAAATTTACACCAAATGACATTATAATTTGACGGAACATCAGAAATGACACGCTGTACCTTTAAACAATGTTTAGAGATCAGCTATTTCTGTTCATGAATGTGTATGTAGAGTGCGGGTGTTACAGAGTTATGGGTTTGTTTTGAGATGCAGCTTGTGAGCCTCATTAGGTTTAAGAGGGAGGTGGGTATGGTGTCACTGCAGCAGTGCCCAGATCTCCACAGGTCTCCACAGGGTTTCCAACAGAGACATGCAGTGGGGATGGAGGACAAGAGACATCTGCTCGCTTTCCCTGTCATCCACTCAACCAAGACAACAAAATCTGTCTGCTTGTTGGTGTTAATGAGCCGTGTAGTTTGTGTGTCATGTTTATGTGTGTGTGTGTGTGTGTGTGTTGCTGGCCTGAAGCAGGTCAAGGAAGCCTAAAATCAACACCAACACAGCTCAAGCAGTGTCAGTCAGGAGAAATGCACTGTTATGGCCCCATGGCAAAATGATAAGATGTAAATGGAGACAGCTGGGGAGAGAGGTTAGAATTTTTAATTGTGCATCAATTAAACAAATATAAAAAAGATTTGAAGCATATTCTGAAGTAGGACTAGGTAAAATTAATTATGTAAGGTTTGTTATTTAAAATAATACAAATTGAACTGAAATGAACTGATTAAAAAGTACAATCTTTAAAAATAACAATAATAATTTCCGCATAGATTATATATATACACTACTGTTAAAAGGTTTAGGGTCAGTAAGATGTATTTTTTTCATTCAGCAAGGATGCAGTCTATTACATGATATGACATTTTGTGACATTTACATGTTACAATAATGTATTTCAAATAAATGCTGTTTTTTTTACTTACATTTTTTTTCTTCAAAATTGATGATAATAACAAATGTTTCTTAAGCAGCAAATCAGCATAATACAATGATTTCTGAATCTGAAGGACCGGAGTAATGACTGCTGAAATTATATTTTGAAATATATTAAAATAGTTATTTTAAATAACAATAAACACAGCATTAGAGAGCATTAGAGACCTCTTTCAAAAACATTAAAAACTTTTGAACAACCGTGTATATATGTAATATAATATAAAATATTAATTGAAATTAATTATAGAATTTACAAAGACTGATTATTAATAATGTGTACTGCTTTTAGAAATATCCAGTGTGTGTTGTAGGTATGACAGAACATCAGTATTACAGCAGGTACTGTATATGAATTTCTTTGAATTTCATTCCTTAAACTTCCTTAAATTCTAATTTGAATTACAGTTCTGCATTCTTTAAATTCAGTTGAAATTCTGGAATAGAATTAGTATGTAGAAGGGATTCCCAATTCAATTTGAGTGGTGCATGACCCTACTCTGAAGTTGCTAATGCATCTAGAGATAAAGTATATGGGTAAGGGAGATGGCATATATTAGATGTTATGGTTGTTGATTCTATGTACAGTTAAATTAGACACAAACGGTATCCCACAATATACTCACCAGTGCCTAACTAACAGCACTTTATATCAGTACAGCACACAACATTGTCAAACCACTCATTTGAGCTTTATAGTTCATGAGCCAAAGAGCACAGACAAAAATTAAGATCTCCTGCCTGCTAATGTGTGCTTAATGAATGAACGAACCCGCCAACTGGTAGAAGCCACCAATGTGTATATGAGTGTGTGTGTGAATGTAATTGCACAGCTCTGTGGGTGTACACCAGACACATCTGGTGCGTGTGACATATGGACATTAATCACCAACATTAACACTTCAGCCGTTAGGGTCTGATGTGACTCCTCAGGTGTAATACATGTGCTCACCTCTTGCTCAGCTGCTAACTTCTCGTTGCCCTCCTCTCGCTCTCCACCAGCGATGGTCGGAGGGGTGGAGGCCGGTCGGGGGACTTCAGATATACTCCTCCTCAGCTTAACGTGTGGCTTCTGAGACTCAGTCTCCTCTGATTCTGATTTCTGTTAATATACACAATATGCATTTTTTTTAAAAAGGGAACTTATTTCAAAAGAAAAAAAATCATGCTTATATAAATATATATATATATATATACATATATATATATAAACATAATTTTCTCTTTTGAAATATGTCTGATGTAATGTAATGGAGACATTGTCTATGTATCTACATAAACAGAATTAGATATTTCTGGACGTTTAAGTTACCCTAAATGTCTGAATGTCTGCAACAAGACAATATCAAATGAATGAATGTATAAATAAATATAAAATAAATTTATTTATTTGTTTGTTTTTCTTTATGAAAAATTATGAAATATACATATTTTTTATTTATTTATGGACGACAGAACCAATAAATCAATGAATAATATAAAATATAACCATTCATGGTTGAAATAATTAAATAAATAATATATATAAATATTCTAAAATATAAACATTCATTTATTAGTTTATGAATGAATAAATAATTATATAAATATTTAAAAATACAAATATTTTTTTAGTTATATGGTTGAATGAATGAATGAATCATGTAAAATTAATTATGGCTGTTTTGACTGACATGATAACAGAATTCCAGAAAATAATAACTAAAAGGCTGCAAAAGTACAGAATATATCCCATTGTAATGTAATGACTGAATCTTAATTAAAAGTAAACACAGGGGAAATTAACACCTAGAACCATCTTAATCTTTCTCAGTCTCTCTCAGATTCACCTGTGACCGACAGTTGATTTATTACCATAGGAACAACTGAGGTGATAGAGTAAATATCAACCATGACTAACACACCCACAAACACAGGCGGCTTTTATGAGATGCCTGACATTTTTGAGACCCTGCACTCAAATAAAAGTGATTTAGTGTGTTCCTCTGATGGTCCGTGTGCACTTTCAGTAACAGCTTGCATATAAATGTTTGAAAAAGTTTGCATGCATAAGCACACACATGCAAAATCACCATCATGTGGGTGTCATTCTGAATGTCACCAGTCACCTTTATACTCTTTCCAGGAATGATCATCTCTCCGCTGCGTGTAGTCAGGCCAGGGGAGGAGGGGAAACTCCGGCGGGGAGGTGGAGGAGGGGGGGATTTTGAGGGCTTCTCCGTTCGATACCTCGCCACCGTCAGTTCATCCGAGCCTCGTCTGAATCCGCTGTCTTTACTGGAAAGTTTATTCTGAGGTTTATTAGGCTTGTGTTCAGGTGTGGCATTGGTGCTAGATGGACTCTGGCTCTGGTTTTGAATCTGGTTCTGAGCAGGTTTGAGCTGCTTGGCAGCAAAGTCTAAGTCAGGAATGGCCTTCATGAGCTCAGCCTGAGTCTCCTCCAACAGTCGATTAATGTCCTGAGCGCTGTACTGTGTTAGACTGGCTCTCTTCTCTTCCCAATCCCGCTCTGCTGCCTGAAAACACATACAGATTACATTTTACAAGATCATCAGTGCTTCAAAACAGCTAGTAAAGAAGCTGAACTGTTAATGCCTATTCACACAAAGTCCAACTTTTCAACTCTAAACACATTCACAACAAGATTTCAAAAGGAAGAAATATGCGCATGTGCACTATTATTAAAATTGTGAGGATAAGATTTTTTTTGTGTGTGTGTGTTTGATAGAAGTCTCTTACATTTACCAAGACTGCATTTGTTCATTGAAACATCCAGTAAAAACAGTAAAATTACAGTTACAGTTTTCTATTTGAGCCTATTCACACAAAGTCCAACTTTTCAACTCTAAACACATTCACAACAAGATTTCAAAAGGAAGAAATATGCGCATGTGCACTATTATTAAAATTGTGAGGACGATAAGATTTTTTTTGTGTGTGTGTGTTTGATAGAAGTCTCTTACATTTACCAAGACTGCATTTGTTCATTGAAACATCCAGTAAAAACAGTAAAATTACAGTTACAGTTTTCTATTTGAATATATTTTAAAATGTTGTGATGCAAAGCTGTATTTTCAGCATCATCACTCCAGTCTTCAGTGTCACATGATCTTTCAGAAATCATTCTAATATGCTGATTTGCTGCTCAAGAAACATTTATTTTATTAATGATGAAAATAGTTCATGCTTTTTTCATGATTCTTTGATGAATAGAAAGCAAATAAAAAGCTTTTTTTTTTTTTTTAAATAGAAATGGTTTGTAACGCTATAAATGTTCTTAATGTCACCTTTAATCAATTTGATCCTTGGAGAATAAAGCATTAATTTCTTTTGAAAAAAAAAACAAACCTTATTGACCTCAAACTTTTGAATGGTTGTTTATCTTTATGAACTTTATTACTGCCACTTTTGCATAATAAGTATTTTAAATGGTTGATTAATCAACTGTCATTTTCTTTTTAGCAACACAAATTGTCCAAGGTTAATTTCTAATTAAAAAATATACCTTCATACTATCGTCTAATTTAATGACGTCAGACCTTTACATATTAAAACAACATTACTAAATAAAAAAAGTTATTGCTATTGTATACATTTAGACAAATGGTTTCTTTCATTTTAAATCTCATTCCTCACCAGTCTCACTTCCACGGATGAGGCCTTATCAGACCCTCCTCGACCTCCCAGCTCGCCCAGCTCCCGCCCCTTCAACGAGCCCACCATCCCATGAGAATCTTTCTCACGCTGTACACTAGAAGGGTTCGAGTGGCTGTGGCTTTGACCAGAGTGAGGGCTCCAGTTAGCCAGGCTGGTCTCATTGAGGTTTAGCGGTGGACTGGTTGGAATATTAAAGTCTGTGTTCTTCCTGTACTCGTCCCCTCCTCCGAGTTTAGGAAAGGGGCTGGAATACTCATCCTGGGTCTTCCACACTCCTTCATTCACCTGCCTGATTAAACCATAAAACAACACACAATAATGAAGAGTAAATTACATTTGAGATGTGCGGCTAGACAAGGAATGATTAAATAAGTGTTTGTCTACCTCCTCAGCGTAGTGAGAGTGTCTGTGATAGATCTGCAGCGTTTAAGCAGAGCGTCCAGTCTGTGTGGCTCCTCTTTCAGGAATTTCACCGCTTCCACTTCCACTCGCAACACCACTCGCATTTTACTCTGGAGCCCCGGGAACTGATCTGAACGAGAGAGACAAAGAGAAAAACAGACGGGCAGAGAAGTGAACAACTCTCTTCGCTAACTGAGGTTCAAGTGTCTGGCTGTGAAGGACAGAAAAGCGTCTGTCTCACTCTTCAGCTCGGTGAGAGTCTCTCCCAGTTTCCTCAGCAGCGAGCTTTTCTCCTCCAGCTCCTGCACTGTCACATGTCGGTGACTGACAGACATCTCCTTCTTGATTTCCTCCACTGACTTTTCCAGATCACTGTCAAGAGCAAACACCCACTCATTAGCTTCATTACATATTGATTGTTTCAGAAAGAGCATATTAATTGACGCTGTGTTATTACTCAGAAGGGAATCTTGCACGTTTTGATGTTTCTGACATTTAAAAGTTCAAAAATGTAGCACGAGATGCGTGTGAAAATCCCAAGCCTGCCTCCCTGCGCTGTGGCGTCGGCACGCATTTGAATAAGTGTCAGTGCAGCAGGGTGTATTAGCACTAAACGACTGAGACACAGTCAGAGTGTTTACACTCGAAATCCAATTTAACCACGTCAAATAAATCCACCCCCCACAAAATGGTTTGTTACAAACAGCGTCCCGTTTATAATTGAATCACATCAGCTGGCTGTTAGCTATACTTAATAACTGCTATCAATTAAAAGCAACACGACTGATCTGGCAGCGAGTTGTAGAGGCGGATTTAGTCACCCTGCTGCTTTTAATTGGAAGAAAATAAATCAATGAGATGCTGTCCGTTATTTGTACAGGCTAACACTGAAGTGCGGGTCTGCAGGTCTTTAACTGAGACTGTTTATGCCACATTGTTATGCATTTATTCACTTTCGAGTTGATGAGAACCTGTGCAATAAAACTAACTGGGAAATAATTTTTTTTCAACATTATGCAGCAGTGTCACTAATCTAGTGCCTCAGACTGCATTATTATCGCACATATTGTGTGCGAGACGCACTGCAGTTGCTGTATGATGAGTTCCTCCTCGTTCAGGTATTTGAGTCTCTCCTCTTCCACTAGGAGGCGCTGTCTCTGGAGAGGGTCTTCCTGTTTCCTCAGCGCATCTGATAGACGCAGACTCAGCTCTGCCTCGGTCCTCTTCAGTAGACTGCGCATGGAGTCCTGGTTCTGCAACTACACACAAATACAAACCAATTAAAGTTTGTGTAAAGGCAATTTAGAGAACTGGTTCTAAACACATTATAAATGCTAGAAATGTATTGCTGAAAACACATTACAAAGACTAGCTAGCTATGCCTTTGTCACGTAAATGCATATTATAAACATGTATGGCTGTGTAAATCCAATTAAGATGCTAGAGGGAGCATTTTTATTGTAATTATTTGTGAAATTTACTAGCAATTTCTGAGTGAAAATTGTTTCATAGCTATTTTTTTCAGTGTATCATTATTAAACCAGAGGGCCAGGGCCCAATAGGGGTCCTCGTCAAATTTCCAAGGGCCAAAGGACGACTTTAAAATTAAAGGGAAATACATTTATATATATATATATATATATATATATATCTCTCAAATTAACATTTCGGAAATAATCCAACTCCAGTTGAGAAATAAAAAATGCATAAAACATAAACTATTACATAAATATCTAATAACTAAAAATCATATTTTATCTTATTTCATTGAAGAACATATAGAATAATTGTTAATTTAATATTTTAATGCTTTCAGTGTCTGTTAATAAAGTTTTAAGCAGATTTTTTATAATTACAGTAGAAATACTGGAAATATTTACCAACATGGGGGAGGGGTGTTAAAATATTGTGTTGGACAGCAGAGGCTTTCGGTCAAAAAAATTGATAACCACTGCTTGAGGTGATTTATATAACGCAGGACATGTTACTTGATCAGCCTCCTATGGTGTTTCTAGAACAATATTCCCAACAACCAATCGCAGCCCTTCTATGTTCAGCATTTATCTATGAACGATTGTTAAGCATTACAGTCGTAAGACATTTCAGGTGTATCAGTGTGGGAGCGTTTTACAGAAGGTCAGCTGTCACAATCCATCACAACACAGCCATCAGATGACTCATATATGTATCCATATTTAACATTGACCTGTCTTTGACCATATGCAGCTGTCATCTTGAATGTGAAGGTATAATATTATAGAATTGACTTTGATAGTGTGTGCATATATACCGTATGATGGATCACATTAGTTTAAGGTCTCTTGAATGCCCTAATGTGAATGCGCATCCATGTTCTTGAGTTTATTTTCTAGTATTTTCAATTTGTGCATGTTGAAGGTTGTGTGGGAGTTGGAATACCAGATATCACCATAATTTTGTGATGTGTAAGCGCTCTGCAGACAATGTTTGTTTGCCCTGAGAGAAAAACAGTGGACTTTGTCACTTGCATAGCGCCGATAATGAGAAAAGTGTGTAACCACTGTGTTTTTGCACACTCTACGTTTGTGTGTACGATGCGATTTTAGTGTCATTTGGCGGTAGTTCCTCCTCAAGCTGAATTATTTATGAGTCTCATGCATTATTCAACATATCCATGTCTCCTAGGTAACGGGACGAGGGCAGGGGCCGTGTCTCCAGCTCTGGCATTCAGGCAGGTAATAGTCTAACTCAGCAATCTGCAGTTGTCATGACACCAGCGGCTTGGCTCTCGACACCAAAGCAATTGACACCAATCTCGCCGTCCCCGCACGACATGCTCAGACTGTTGCAACATCCCCTCTACAATTATTCATGATATTGTACAATGCATTATAAGGTGCATTACAATGCATTAAAACTACTTTTATAATGCATTATACATAAAGGCTTTAAGTAGTGTTTTAAGTAGTGTAAAAGCATTTTGCAAAACAACTCTTTCCCAAGCAGGTTGCTTTCAGGTTTGCTTTTAAGTTCACTTCTCTAGCAAAATTATCTTGTTTTAAGTACTAGTAGATACTTACATATACTGTACGTAGTATGCTTAAAGGGGTCATATGATGCAATTTCAATTTTCCTTTCTCTTTGGAATGTTACAAGCTGTTCGTGCATAGATAAGGAAAGACTAAAGTCTCAAACCCAAAGAGATATTTTATGGAGGACTGTTTCCTGAACCCGCAGAGTATTCTACAATGCGTCTGTGCAAAAAGGCTGTTTCTATAAAGTGGGGCAGTTCCAACTTTGCAAGGACAGTCTGGCGCTTCTGATTCACAGCCAAGTACATTTTTTATATTTAAATAATTTGCCACTGATGATTCAAACGCGAGTTTTGAGCAGTATAGAGTAGTCTCAAACCCAAAGAGATATTTTATGGAGGACTGTTTCCTGAACCCGCAGAGTATTCTACAATGCGTCTGTGCAAAAAGGCTGTTTCTATAAAGTGGGGCAGTTCCAACTTTGCAAGGACAGTCTGGCACTTCTGACCAGATGCGGCCTGCTGTGTCTCTGCGTCTTCTGACCAGTAAGTACTAAGCCTGTAAGTAAGTTTTCATATTTAAAGGATTTGCCAATGACGATTCAAACGCGAGTTTTGGGCAGTGTAGAGTAGCGCTTGTTGTTTGTCATTTCTCCGATCACAAATGCAGACATGGTTTTATGATTACGCAGTGCGATGCAACGCAACACGTAAAAAGACAGTATAAGTCATTATAATCCATAATTATGTCCCCACTGGATGCAACGAATGCCTCGTTTATAATGGGTTTTCATGTTTTTGTCTCATCGCGCCGGGACACGGCATCACAGTATGGTAAGGGGCGTAACATTTCCGTCACACGCTTGAGGTATTCGGCCAATCACAACGCACTGAATAGCTGGCCAATCAGAGCACACCTTGCTTTTCAGACCAATTAGCTTTGTAAAAATCGACGCGTTTCAGAAAGGCGGGGCATAGAGGAGAAACAATAATGTACACTATGTGGAAAATAATGTTTTTTTTTTTTACCTTAAACCGCATAAATGCATTGCATTACATAATGTTATTTTTATCAACGTCATATGACCCTATTAATATATACTATATATTTTATTTCATAATTAAGAATATTTTATATTTTATAATTATTTGTTCATTTTTTGCAGTATGGGATTGTCTTTCTTTTGCAAATGCAGACTCTTTACAGCTGCAGGGTTTATATTATGTAATAAGGACTACAATTTTTCATCTTCCATATATTGAAATCTAATTCTTTTAGAAAATTCCATATGGAAATAAATGGTTTTAGGTTTTTGAACACGAAGAACCATTGTGTAGGAAATAACAAAGGAATATTTAAGATTCTGCACTCTTTCTAGGTCACTAATTGAATAAGCAAATTAATCATGTGAACTCCTTTGTATAAAAGTAAAAATTTCCGGTAACACTTTACTTGAAGGGGTGTGCATAAGATTGACATGACACCTTCATAATCATGACATGACACATGTCAAGAATATGAAGGAGGTTTTATGCATGTTTATGACAACTGTTATTAAGTGTCATTCGCTCAGTTATGTCATTTTTAATGCAAATATGACATTATTTGACCTAACCCTAACCTAACCCTACCCCTACCCTTACCCCTAACCATAGCCCATAACAAAGACATCTCAAACAATGTCATCTTTGCATTAAAAATTACATAACTGAGCAAATTACACGTAATGACAGTTGTCATAAATATGCATACAAAACCTTCATATTATTATGTACAGTGGGGCAAAAAAGTATTTAGTCAGCCACCAATTGTGCAAGTTCTCCCACTTAAAAAGATGAGAGAGGCCTATAATTTTCATCATAGGTATACCTCAACTATGAGAGACAAAATGAGAAAAGAAAATCCAGAAAATCACATTGTAGGATTTTTAAAGAATTAATTGGTAAATTCCTCTGTAAAATAAGTATTTGGTCACCTACAAACAAGCAGGATTTCTGGCTCTCACAGCTTGCTTCCATTGAGAGAAACGGACGTCTCTCTAAAAGCTTCCTTTCCTGTTTTTCTCTGTTTATTCAGAGAGTTCACGGTAGAGATGCGAGTGTTTACTCATGAATCACACCGGTAGCGATCATTCCACAGTCAATTTTTATTAAAGCACTGCTGATTGAAAAGCTGACTTGATTTGGGGCCAGCTTCCTCTCTCTCTCTCTTCATCTATGTATCCCTGCTGGCCCATACCATCTCATCATTGAGCATGATATTAAGAGTTATTGCCTGCCCTGCTATAGGAGTGAATCACACACAGCAGCAGCCAGAAAAATAAATGACTAGTTGAACACATGCTCACTTACACATAAATACACTCATACACATACAATTAGATATACTTATACACAGTAGTGTAATAAATACAGCATTCCCACATTTTTTGATCAATTAATTTCTATGGCTTCCCAAAAACTTTCCGTTCATGGTTCTTTTTTTATATATAAACACAATGTGTGTCTACTGTTCAAAAGTTTGGGGTCAGTAAGATTTTAAAGGTTTCTGAAAGAAATCTCTTATGCTCACCAAGGCTGCATTTATTTAATCAAAAATTCAGTAAAATTGTAATATACAATTTAAAACATCTTTCTATTATAATATATTACATTATATATTTTCTATTATAACATATTTTAAAAATGTTATTTATTCCTATGTTGGCAACACTAAATATTCAGCAGGCATTACTCCAGTCTTCACGATCCTTCAGAAATCATTATAATATGCTGATTTGCTGCTCAAGAAGCATTTCTTATCAATGTGTCAAAAAGTTGTTGCTGTTTAATATTTCTGTGGCAACTGTTTTACATTTTTTCAGGATTATTTGATGAATAGAAAGTTCAAAATAACAGCATTTTTGTTAAATAGAAATGCATCCATGCTGGATAAAAATAAATGTAAATAAATCTTTAAAAAAAATCTCTTTCTATATATAGACTATGTTCTATTCGTAAATTGTAAGACTTGCAACATTCTGTCCAGGGACTATGGTTGAAAAATAATGTTAATGTACAATGTCCCTGTTAAGTAAAAAAAATAAAAATCAAATTAAATTAAAAATATATATATTCTATTTTTCCTTTTTTATTTATTCATGCTTGGTTTTGAAATATTTAATGAGTTAAAATTGCTCTTGGTGAGTGCAATCCATATAAAATTATTCTTAGAAATCATGGATGACTGGAAAAGTCATGAAGATTCATTGCTGCGAGATCCCTGTTTGTAGACACTGCACTCACAAAGAGAAATGTCTGATGCAATTTTATAGCTGAGCATAACTAGAAAAAATCATTTTCCGCTGTAAAAATGTCCATGACTTTTTGAGGCTAGAAAAAATAATTGAAAAATTCCCTTGCATTTCCAGGTGTTGCAAGACTGTGGGAACTCTGTAAATACAGAAAGGAAAGCGTATGACAGACACACAACCCAATAGGATCTGTCAGACTGTTAGTGTGCCGTCTCCTCTCTGCTGGCTTTCAGCCCTCCCTAAAGCTCCCTCCACATCCTTCCTTTCTCTCCTCCTTCACACATTCACCAACACAAACATTTCCCTTTATCATACTCCTGCTCAACATGTCACCATGATAATCTGACAGCTGGCCATACAAGGAATTGCAACAGTTTACAACAGTATCCATACATATTTTATTTAAGACATTTTGCCCCATTCAGACATCAGATTCTATATCCATCCTGCTCGTCAGAGACGACTGCTGTCTTGAGATAGTTGGTCCATATCTAAAAAATCTGACATTTTGACAGATACGTTTCTGATTGATACAGTATCTGAATGTTCCCTGTTCCCCATAGAGGTAACTTATCAAACATCACTCTTCTTCCGCTTTTTCTGTCTGTTTCTCTGTATTTCTGCCCAACTTAACACACACAGGTACAGAACACCAGCATTTCAATATAAACTTTCTGTAATGTAAAAAGTAAGTGATTTTGAATCCAAAATTGTCAGTGTCTATCTTTTGCAAATATGTATTAAAATCATCAGTAACACAATCAAAAATGTTCAAAAACGTTCAAATAGGTTTGATTTTACCATCAAGTCCTCTGGTTTGAATGTTGAAGTGTGTAACGCATGCAAACTTTCCAAACTGAACTCTAAACATGACCGAGATCGCTGCATTTTACATCAGGACGGAGCAACAAATCTGCCGTAAATACCAGGTGAGGCCATTCAGCACGTCCTCTTTGTTTTTCGCTGCTGTGTGTAAATAAATTAGACTGTGAGATATTGTGAAGACTACAAATCGGCACTGATGTTCCTGCCGTCTGTGCCTTCTGTATCACCTTCTGTATCACCTCCTTAAATCGTCCTCCCTGCCAGCAGGCAAACATCTAGATGGCTTGCAGTGTTAGGTGTTAGCATTGTTCAGTTGATTCTGACTGGTTGACACTTATTCCAATATGGCTATGAAGTATTTCCAGGTCTGCGAATAGTGTTTTACACTTAACCAAGTCTAGCACACGTACAAGTGATTTCCATGGTATAAGTGGAATAACTGACACGGAACTGCCTTAAGAATTCATATTTTAATACACATCTAAGGAGTAACAGGTAATTGGCTTCGCATCATGCCGCATTTCGACCTCAGGTATGCATTCAATTTTTCAATATTTCAGCGGTCTGTTGTCAGTTATTCCTTACTTTGAGACAGAGGTCTTACAATAATGACAATGTCTGACCTTCCAACTGTGCCAGTAGTGTGCGTTTCTATGACTGAATCTAAGCAAAAATACAGCTATCATAATTCACAGCTATCAAATGAAAGCAATTTGGAGCAGTATTTTGTGTAATGTGTGATCATTTGCACTGATGCTGTGAGTGTTGTTGTCAATCGAAAAGTGACACCTTTCTAAGTAGGAGTGAAATTACAAAGTTTCGAGCATCAAGAAACATTTGTCCTCAACATTTAACTAAATTGAGCTGAATAATGACACTATTGTCTTTTGTAAAGCTGCTTACAGCTGAAATAGAATTCGTTTCATCATGAATTCTGCAGTATTAAAACTATTATTTTCCTGTTTATTCCTTTGAAGCCGCTTTTTGACAGTCTGTATTATACAAAGCACTCTATAAATAAATGTGATTTAACTTGAGCTCCCTGAAAGCTAAATGCCACGATCAGTCAATCAGAACAATCAGTCAATCAGAACACCTGCTGTGTGTCAAGATGCACGAGATTGTAATGTCTTACCTGCATTTTACGGAGCTGTGCGAGCTGCTTGCGCAGATCGGTGGCGTTCTGTTGTAGGTCATGCAGGTGAAGATGCATCTGTAGCCTGGAGACGGTGGAAGCCCGAGAGCCTCCAGATGAAGGTGGCGGCATCAGTGCCAGCGGGGCAGATGGAGTCAGCGCTAATAACCACAACACAGGACAAAGATTCTACACTGTCAGCTCGAAAGACGCACTCAATCAAATACGAATTATTTTGCACTTACCCATCTACACCTGCATTGTTTAGTCCTGCTCCTGGAGATCGACCTTACAACAGAGTTTATGCTGCTTCCAAGTTACAACGAATGTGTTTAAAAGTTTAACGCAAACATAAAGTCATATTTAATAGTCAGAAATCCAGGATAATGCTGGATTCAAGTCCACCTGGCAAACTCTTACAGCCAAGTTAGGCAATTGCTTTTAGGATATACTGCATAACACATTCAAGTTGAAAACACAATATCCAAAATGGAACAAGATCAAAAGCTCTTTGTTTCCTGTTTTATCAGTAGATATAAATGAATGCACCTGCATCATTTTTACACTACTTATATGCATGGAATTTAACAAACAATGAATATATTTGCATAAAGAAAACAGTTAGGAGTGTGTAGCTTTATATTGGTAATAATTACAAAATCATTCACTCTCATGTGCTGCAGATTAGCACTTTCAAAAATGTGGGCTTGGTGATTAGTGGTGACTTGGTGACTCTTCTCATTATCACCAAAGCTGCAAGTATTTGATTAAACAGTAATATTGTTACATGCTATTAAAATTTGTACAATTTTAAAATGTAATTGATTCCTGTGAGGGCTAAGCTGAATTTGCAGCATCATTGCACCAGTGTCACATTATCTTTCAGAAATCCTTCTCATATGCTGATGTTGTGCTGCTTAATATTTTTCTGGAAACTCCTGGTAAATATGACTTTGCTTGGTTATTCATGAGAACAAAGCTCATGATTGTGATATTTCTGACCTGAAGATTGCTTAAGCCCAGACTTTCCAAGTTGAGGTCAGGTCGATTAAAGAATTATGGCAGATAGTTTTTTTTATCATAAGCTGTGAATGTTGATGGTGCAGTATAGTATGTACAGATTTTCTGTGTGTACTGTTAGAGAACAATAAATATAAAGCTTGCCTGAAAACACTAGCCATTTAGTTGGTTTACGAGGAGACCAAAGTACTGTACATTTCTAATGATTCTCCATGAAAGCATGGAGTGATAAAACACACCAATAAATACACAATTATACACCTAATGTTCATTATTGCTCTTTATTTTGTTTTATTAGCTCTAAAAGCTTTCTGTCTTAGTCGGTAAGTAAAAAATCAAGAGGAAGAAATGTGAAACTGCCCTGCGAGTCTATTTTATTCTGAGCAAAATCACTTCATAATGTCATAATTATGATTTCCGAACTTTTAAGGAGGAACTTCCCAGGAGGATTTGAACACAGTATTAGTTCCAGCCATGTTTCAACACACCTGGCTGTAAATTCAATCAAGTGACCTTGACTAGCTGGATCAGGTGTGTTTGATTAGGATTGAGGCTAAACTCTGCGGAAAGGAAGATCACCAGAAACCAGATCAAGGACTTTTGCTCTACACCCATCCTTCTTTGTGTTTTCAGACAGAGGTACACTAACCCACACACACACACACACACACACACACACACACACACACAAAGCATGTTGTCACCTCCAGAACCCATTCAGGAACATGCTGTTAGTGAGGAATACAGAGATACCAGCACTCTCCAGTCAGTCGTTTTTAACAAAAGGGTACATGTACTGATTCCCCAAGATTCAGGAAATGTGAAAACCAACACATCCTCCCCACACTTCATTTTCAGCGTGTGAATGTGTTAAGTTCAGGAGTGAAAACAGACTGAGGGAGAGCAGATCTAGTGCAGACAGGCCACAGAGGAGAGATACAATAGAAAACTACAGTGGGATCAGGCATTAAAGGGATAGTAAAGAGTGTTGTCACCTCCAGAACCCATTCAGGAACATGCTGTTAGTGAGGAATACAGAGATACCAGCACTCTCCAGTCAGTCGTTTTTAACAAAAGGGTACATGTACTGATTCCCCAAGATTCAGGAAATGTGAAAACCAACACATCCTCCCCACACTTCATTTTCAGCGTGTGAATGTGTTAAGTTCAGGAGTGAAAACAGACTGAGGGAGAGCAGATCTAGTGCAGACAGGCCACAGAGGAGAGATACAATAGAAAACTACAGTGGGATCAGGCATTAAAGGGATAGTCCACCCCAAAAAATGAAACTTCTGTCATTTCTATCATTTATTCACCCTCATGTTGTTTCAAACCTGTAAGAGTTTCTTGCTTCCATTGAACACAAAAGAAGATATTTTGAAGAATGTGAATAATCAAATCAAATGTTTGACCAACATCCTTCAAAATACCTTATTTTGTGCTCAACAGAAGAAAGAAACTCTTACAGGTTTGAAACAAACTGGGGCTAAGTAAATGATGACAGAATTTTCATTTTTGGGTGGACAATCTTTTTAAAGAAACAGAAGGATCACATTTTCGTATATATAAAAACAAACACGGCCACTACATACACCAGGAAAGACCAATTAAATATGAGAGAGCAGAGACAAGGCTACCTTTCTTCTTCAGCCGGCCAGCTGTAACATACATTAGAAGCTTTCAGCTGGCAGTTAACTAAATAACCGTAATGAAGTAAAGAAACAGAGTGCTGAATTGGACTTTTCGTGGATCAGATTCAAAAGGGGAAACTAGGACTCATGGGAAACTCTCTCGATGGCCCTTTACTGAGGTGAGAGTCGGCTTAGACTCACCTCTCTTAACCGTGAAGAACCTTCAAAGACAAATCTAGCAAATCAAAACCCTGGCTGCAGCCTTTGAAGGCTTGGCCACTGATGAAGACGCTCTCTGAGGACACCCGTTACGGATTTGAGAAGGAACAAAACTGAAAACTAACACAAAAAGGAGCACTGAGCAATATCCGTGAAAACATCAAGGTTGTTCTGACAAAAAAGAACAAAGGAGTGAAAACAAGGTAGGGTCCTTCATTCAAGTGCACTCTGATGAAGATTCATGTCTTGTTGTTTTAATATGTCAAAAGCCTGTTTGAGATCAGCAGTTTTTAAACTTGAGCCAGCCTGATCTACTAAGAACATGATATTTTAGACATTAGCTTTATAGCCTGCCTCACAACTGCTTTGGACAACCATAAAGAAGTAGCTGGACTCACTTCCTGTGGCAGAGCCGTCGCTGGTGGATTCGGTCTTCTCGCTGGAAGAGAAAGGGAAGGGCCGTGAAAAGTCCGCCCCCTGGTCCGGCGGGCAGCCCGCCATCATGCAGAGACGCAGCAGGCCGCATCTGAGGATCATACAGCCATGATACTACCACTGTACTACAGCACCTATTACTATACTGACACTACACTTCTCTAACACGACGACTACACTAGCCTTCTCTATGGCTTACAAAAGGTTTTGCTATCTATCTTGTGTTATGCTACTGTTATTGCGCTTTTACTATTTCCACACATTACAATTCCTTTGAGTAACACAGCTTTATTTAACCTATAAAACAATTGTGTTAAACCATGTACACTGCTGTTCAAAAATTTGGAGTCAATAAGAAATGTTTTTTTTTAAAGAAATTATTACTTTTATTCAGTAAGGAATCCTGAAAAAAACTGTTTCCAGCATTAATAGTAATAAGAATTGTTTTTTGACCAGCAAATCACCATATTATATTGATTTTACACTGAAGACTACAGTAACGACTGCTGAAAATCCAGCTTTGCATCACTGGAATAAATTACATTTCAAAATATATTTAAATAGAGGAGTTGTTTTTAATTTGTAATAATATTTCACAATATTACTGTTATTACTGCACTCTAAAAAATGCTGGGTTGTTTCAACCCAACTTTGGGTCAAATATGGACTAACCCAACTGTTGGGTTAAATTTTTTAATTAAAGTTTTAACCCAAACGTTGGGTTAGTCCATATTTGACCCAAAGTTGGGTTGAAACAACCCAGCATTTTTTAGAGTGGTATATCTTACTTATTGTTATTACTGAATCAAATAAATGCACTCTTGGTGAGCATAAGAGACTTCATTCTAACACATTATACAATTTTAGCAACTCCAAACTTTTGAATAGTGGTGTATTAGAACTGAACTATACAACCCAATATGATACTATTCTTCATTCTGACCCATTCTATCTATTCTACCTATTTTTTATAATCCAAAACAATTTAAACACTATGCTTAACCACAAGTCACTGGCTTTAATAACATCTAAAGGTCAGCAATGAACTCTCACTTAAAAGTATCTTTAAGGCCTATTTACACCAGGGTAAATTATGAGCACAAATTTCAGCGCTATAGGATTTTAACACCAAAATGCACAGATTTGCACTGTGATTATCTGACTTTTTGTTCATACACACAAAAAAACCCCTCTCTAATCAACAGGATTTATATCAGGCATTTCTATCTTTAACTCTACCTAATCTGAATTAAACACCCTATTTATACAATAATCTTATAATCTCTTCTCAATGCTTTCTTCAAAACTCTCTTTTTGAGATAAGAATCTAATTATTATTCATTTCCTTTCATCAAATAGTTGATGTGAATGACTTGTCACATCGAATATGAATGATAATAAATGTCCAGCAACATCAAAGCATCGGGTACAAAGAGACTCATGGCCATCGCAGGACAAAAAAGACCACCACCACACACAAGTTCAATACAAGCACTTACAGTCAGCAAGTGAAGACATTTTTGCAAGCTTATGAAACATAAGAAAAGGCAATGGCTATATAGCAAACAAGAGAACACAGGATATTACCGCATGATAGCAAAATGGAACCATGATAACAACAGTGAGCATGTGTGAAATGGTTGAATGTATTGCGTAAAACAGTTTTTTAGTGTCAAGGACATTTTACATGGTACACAGTCTTAAGTACAGATGTTTTCCATACACAAGAGAGAGCACAACACACACTCACTACTGCTTTAGTTCAATGCTAACAAACAACAGGCTGCTTCTATAAATGATGCAATTACTGTAAATTACGTATTTAACATTGCATGTGAAAACTTATCAAACTATACAAAAAATGAACAACAAAATGCCATTTATTTCTCCATATAATGTTATTTCTCCATAAAATAAGTTGAACTGTGAACTCACACAGTTACTGTGTACCATGTACAATGATCTTTACGTGTCAAATGCTTATTGTGATTGACTTATCAGAAGCCTGTATATGTGAGATGGCTTTTATAGATAGGTTGTCATTGTAAGTGAGCATCTGATTGGCACTGGTTCCATGTAAATGGATCATAGATGGCTCTATGGATGTATTCATGTCTTACGTGCTGTCACTGTCTGGTGCTCGGGTTAGGACGCTCTGAACCAGTCCAGTCAGACTGGCTATCTGCTTCTCCATTGCCTCCATACGATCCCTGCTAACGAGACAGAGACAGAAAATATATAAGTGTAAACTTTTTTAACATACATTTCCCAGGGTTTTTTGCTTAAATTTTCTCTTAAACACTGTTATAGTAGTAGATGTTCCATTACTGGCAGTCATATCTGTTCAAAGACAACATTTCCCCTAACAGTGGATTGTCTAGGGCAGGGGTGTTCAATCCAGGTCCTGGAGAGCCAACGTCCAGCAGACTTTAGCTCCAACTTGTCCCAGTCCTGAAGACCTTGATTACTTTGGTTCAGGTTTGTTTAACTGGGCTAAACTCTGCAGGACAGTGGCCCTCCAAGAGCAGAATGTGACACCCCTGGCCTAGGGGCATCACTCAAGATCTCTCAATAATGAAGTGCCAGTGCCCGGGCAAATGTTTCATTTTCTAGTGAGTAGGTGTAGCTTAGCACAGAGTAAAAACTGTTTAGCTGTTAGATCAATCTGTTTGGAAGAAAACTGAGTAAGAAGAATCCAGTATCTGTAAAAAATGTGCCACAACATCCAAGAAAATCCCAATGAAAAGACAATGCCCAAAATAAATCCGATAAAGACAAACAAGATAAAGCAAACGAGACATTAAAAAGCTTGTTTAAATCATGTGCCAACTTTGCCAAGTTCTTATAAATGTACTATATATATATTAATGTTTTATATATTTAAGATTTTGGAAAAAAATCAAAGGTTTTAGTTTAAAGACTAATGCATTATGCATATGGTGCAACCATGACGTAAACAACAATAACATATGCTCCTAAATGATTACTTTCAAAAAAGTTATTTAAATATACAGTATACTGTATATAGAGAAGAAATTGTTGAATAAAGTCTTTATTTTTGTTTTCTTTGCGCACAAAAAATATTCTCGTAGAGTCATAAAATTAAAGGTCTTTGCACACCGAGTCCAAAATTCTTGTCCAAAATATACATTTAAATATTAAATAAAAAATAAATAAATAAATAAATCCGACCTCACGTTGTCAATCACGTTTACACACCGTCTCCGAAACTTTCATCCGTCATAAAAAAAAAATCTGATTAGGTTAGATTTTCTGTGTTTTCGCATCCATAGCAAGCATTTTGATAGGAAAGGATGACGAATATGAAAAAAAAAAAAAGCATACAAAAATTTTGGAATGATGTCACATGGACTATTTTAACTATGTCCTTACTACCTTTCTGGGTCTTGAACGTGTCAGCTGTATTGCTGTCTATGCAGGATCAGAAAGCTCTCAGATTTCATCAAAAATATCTTAATTTGTGTTCTGAATATGAATTACAGGATTGGAACGACATGAGGGGTAGTAATTAATGACAGAATTTTCATTTTTGGGTAAACTATACCTTTAATAAGGATTTCTTTCTAGCATTTGCATAATATTAAATGCTGTTTATTAATTTATGTTGAACGTGTGCAGACTGACGTTCCGTTCTTGTCCATGAAAATGTGTGTTTGTCAATGAAAAAGTAAATAAATAACCTCACATGAATGTACATGTACTTTTGCTAGTGCTCACCGTGTGTCCGTCTCGCCCCCAGATAATGACGACCCAAATCCTGGTCCCTTACTCCCATCTCCTAGGGGTTCAGAACTGGAGCTGGGTCTGGACTTCGGACTCTCCACAAACACCGAAGAGGAAGCCGAGTCTTTGCGGAAGGTGGTTCTCACAGGTGACCCTCGGCTGGGAGACCCAGTGAACGAATCCCTGTCCCTCAGCTGCACGTCGGGAATCTTCTGTGGGGAGGAGGGCGGCAGACGAAAGCCCATGCCGAGCGTGGAGCTGCTGTAGGTATCGGAGTATAGAGAACCTCCAGGCTTATACAGGCTGTCCTCCAGGTCGCTTTGAAGCGCCGCAGCTGAGTATGTACTGAGAGACCGCACCGACCCTCTGCGGTACAGACCTCCTGACACCGGGAAGCCGAAAGGGTCGGCGATGGTGGCCAGGGACTGAGTAGAAGCGATACTAAGCCGACCCTCGTGCATCAAGCTGTACGGATCAGCATAAAGACCTTCATTCTTTAGGAGGACCATGCCTTTACCAGACATCTCCTCGTCGGGTTTGACATCACGCCGCTCCAGGATGGCCGAGGAGGAGGGGGTTAGGCCTTGAGCCTGTCCGTGAGAGGGCGAAGGGTGGTGGGAGTGGGACGGATGCTGGGGACCCTGTGGGTGAGGGTGGCCCGGACCAGCAAAAGAGGGGGGCCGACCTCCGCTGTAGGAGAGACGAGATCGAGAAGGAGAGCTGGAGGAGGGCGAGGCAGTGGAGGAAGGGAGAGTGTTGAGGCGACGGGTAGGTGACGAGTCCCGGGATGAGTAAACCATCTCTCTCTAAAATAAAACAGAGAAAATACATTTTCATATTCATTTTATGAATATATCACTCTGGGTAATTTATTTGAATAATCTGTGTCCAAGTCATAGAAGAAAAAATTTTGATGCATGAATGCATAATGCATACATGATTAATAATATATAATATAATAATAAATACAATACTAATTTTGATATAAATACAAAAATAAATTTGATAAATGAAATCAATTTGATATCACAACACTTATTTACCTCAAAATAATAGTGAACTGTCATTTTAAAGGGATAGTTCACCTTCAGTTGCTGGTCCCCATTGACTTCCATAATATGGGTAAGAAAAACAAAGAAAACACTAATGGGGACCAACTGAAGGTGAACTATCCCTTTAAATGACATAATGAAGAGGAAGTGATGTCATCTGTGTTTTTAGAAATTGGCAAGTTCTACTCTAATTTAACATTTACAATTTTTTTTGCTTTTTTTTCGTGCTTAACAAGATTTGTCAAAAAAAAAAAAACGAACAAAAAAAAAAACAATTATAATTTTTTTTTCTAAAATAGTTAGTTTTCTATTATTTATAATGTAAACGCAAAATAATTCAAGATTTTTAAAAATAATTTACATTCAGATGGTACAATACAATTTTATTTGTCTGGTAGAATGTTTAAAATCCTACAGAAATCTAATGTAAAAAAAATTGAAAAGCCACCAATTCAACAGAATAATTTAGTTCCATTCATAGTTAGGAGTGTTAAAGTGGATATTTGCCAAAAATCACTCAAAAGTGAAAATGAGTTGCTGACAAATCAAACATCTCAAAGCAAGAGCAATCCTCTGAGGTTTAGGACAAAAACCAAGAGCAGAGCTCTAGACTCATTGCCCTATTCTCTCCTTCTCTCACTCTTTCTTTTCATGGGTCTGTAATTCAACTCCGGGGAGCTCCATTCACCCTATTCACTCCTTTCACCCAGCCTAGCTAAAGCTACTGGCATAACATTGGATTACATGACACTGTATTCAGATTTCACCAGCGCTTCTGAGTGAGCGCATATACTTTACTAAGCTACAATGAGCAGAAGGAAGAGCTTTTAAACTCTCCATTCACAAACACCAGGAAACCCACACTCATCTAATAGATCCATTTTTGATCCATTTCTGTTCCCTTTTGTTCCCCACCTCTGAGAGTAGTCAAACTTACTCAAACTTACTGAAGCATTACAGGGATATAGCTTGTTAGTCTGCGTACAACGGACACACTGACGTAAATGCAAGTACACACTCCAGGGAGCAGTTGACATGTTCTGTCTAGAGTTCTGTTGATGATAGAGAAATGGGCTTTATATATTCACTCAAACACACAAACAGTGAAGGGCTGTAGAGTTTCAACTCGAGTGGCAATTTGAACAAATTCAAAGTGGTCAAAAGGTGCAATGAGCTCTTATTTTATTTAAAATATGAAAGCAGCAATTAACCTAAAAAAAACTAAAGTTCCAGTTTAGAGTGTATAGAATTTTTGTATAGTATAAATTTTTATTTTTAAAGAAAACTGAAAAAAACCTCTGCACAATCATTCTCTCTATCTCTCTCACACACACACACACACACACACACACACACACACACACACACACACTGCATAAACACTTGGGAATCGTAAGTAATGAAACCAGGGGAATATTTTCAAACCGGGTCCTAGGGTCCTGTAAGTAAGTGCTAGGAGGTCGTATTTTAGGACCAGCAAAGTGCATATAATTAATTACATGTTTCAGTTGATTTTTAACACATTAAAAATAATATTATTACTGTTTTATTCTATCTAATCAGAAATCATGAAATTAATCAGAATTATTCAATCCTATGGACAGTTTAAATGTTATACATAATAGTGGGTAGGAAAAAATACTCTTGCAACTTAAAGTAAATATTCTGCAGATAATATTTTAAATATTTAATTTTCAAAAATTTAAATGTAACCCCCCCCCCCTGAAAAATAAAACATTTAATTTTAGAAACATGTTGTCTTTGTAATACCACACCTAGTATTTTATCACACAGAAGGGGTCTTTATAAATAAATAAATAATACATAAATATCACTATATAGCTGCCTTTATATTTTATGACACAGTCCTGCACAGGGGATCATCATATTTTGTAGTCCTTGGCATAATACAGTTTGAAAACCCCTGAATTAAGTAGCAATTATTGGTCTTAAATATATACTAAATAATCTAAACATAAACAATAGCACCTTTTGCTACAACAAAAATCTGTTGTGGATATGAACCTTTAGCATCTCATTATCATACAAGCAACCAGTCAGTAATTAATTACACTGATTTAAGTCTAAATGAGTGAAAACCCATTCTGCTTTCCCAACTCTGACAACACTCTAAAAACACACACACACACAGACATCAGTGTACATACATACAGTACACTCCATGCAAACAGACAATAAACAGAAACATTTGCATACATTAACAGCCTCATGCCTATTGTTAGCTGAGAGACTCGTGTCTAATAGCAGTGGGTATGAAATGGTAAAGACGTCTCACACCAGAGAAGTAAAAACGAACATTTGATCAACAGAGTGACGCAACATGATCGGATTTCAAAGTCAACCCACATCAAACTCCTGTGGTAGCACAGTGAGCTCACAAAATGAACCGAACTCCCAAGTTATATGCCAAAAACTGTGCATAATTCAAAAACCTCCGAGTTCAAGAACATCCAAATCTGAAAGACGTCGCTCAATGGATCAAACAACGGGTACGTCCCTTTAAAATATTTAACACGCAAAAAGGGCCGTGACGTCGATTTGAAGGTTAGGTTTGCCTTTCATCTCGCCACATACTGCGATCTACATCCTTAACCTTGTGATTTCTTATTTTGACTTGGGAAAGAAAACATTCTTTAAATATGGATCATGCTTGGCGCCTTCTTTTATCCATAAGCCCATGCTGAGACAATGTAAGATGGCAAACAACTGAATCATTGAATGCAGGAGGAATATCTCACCCTGAGGTCTCCGTTGGCCAGATGTGCCGCAGGATAGGAGGCATAAATGGGCTCTTTGCGATAGATTTTAATGATACTGCGGTCCTGTATGTCCCGCACGTCCTCCAGCTCGTAGAAGACGTTCCTTGCTTCGTCTTTGATCAAGATGGCCGTGTTCGGGGACTTCAGCATTCCCGCTGTCAGCTTCTGAGGGAACATGTGCACGATAAGTGCGTGCAAGGTCTCCAAACTGTTGAGCTCGTGAGTGATATGAACACGTCTGGTCTCATCGCCAAACTGCAGGAAAAGGACACCTGAGGAGAGAGAAGGAGAGAAGTAAGAAGAAAGTCAAGAAAGACCACCATGATCAAGATGAAAATGGTGAAGCATACGCTCCTAAATGTGAGATTTGTGCATTTGAATGGCATATAAAATTGTCATCTATTAGCTTTACGCAGTTTTATTATAAACTATCCAACTTAATGTGATGTATACAGTATTCATCAGTTATACATAAACGAAAGAGGTAAGATTTCTGTAACAGTGCTAATAAACTGAATGTGTTTTAAACACTGAAAAAACAGCCTCAATACATAAATCCAATTACTTTCTGACTGATACATTTTAACTAATTGAATTTTTTTGGAATCTTATGCCATATTCATACTTTTCTAACTGAACGAATTCAAATGTTTTTCACAATGAACAGATTTATGCAGATTCTAAGCAATCTGAATGAATGCATTTAGAAGAAAAGATTGTTTAAATAAAATCAAATAGATGAAAATTGCTGATAATAAACTGTGCAGAAATCTTACCTGCTGCTTATCTGTTTTATTTATGTGTGACTGACAAATATAAAGTGTGAAAAGCATCACATTAGGTTTATTAGTCTATGTTAAAACTGTGTAATCCAAATGGATGTCAATTTTATATGCAATTCAATTGCATAAATCATAAATATAAAGTGTTGTAAACTGCTGTGAGAGAGAGAGAGAGTGACAGACAGATTTTAGGAGGGATGTCAGTGACAGCAAGTCGCTCATTCAGGGCTGCTGACCTCCTACTGCAGATTTTTTTGTCATTAGTTTTTGTCAGTTTATCTCGACGCACTTCACCTAAAGGGGCATCAAGCGATCCTAAATTTCCTGCTGACGGGATAATAATCTCTCTGGGGAAGAGCTCCAACCGAATCACTTTCAGCAAATATTGTGCGCTTGCTGTTAACATACACTCGGCTATAAAAGTTCAACAACACTGTATCACGTCTAAGAGATACTTCACGCCATGGAAAACAAAGCTAAAAAACAAACTGTTGAAGGTCAGTTCATCTGAATGCATTGTACTGCTGTAATTAAAGCACTGCTATTAACTATCAACAAGTAGAAAACATTTCACAGTATCTAATTGCAGGACAGCGAAATGTCATCTTCTGCCAAAAGCAAACCAGAACAGTGGGGCACATGTTTTTTTCCCACTGATTCATTTATACCACCCAACCCATTGAAACAAAGCGATTCAACAGAATGAATCAGACTTTCCATCACAGCAAATGAAAAACAACAGAATGTGTTTAATTATTGTGTCATCTCACTCAACTGTAAAGCTGCACGCACAAAACAATGTGACATTTAAAGAAGTAATGCAGCACCGTGTCACATCACTATTAAAAATAGCAAAGATATTTCCTGAAGTTAATCTGATTGCAACTTGAACTGTTCTTGTACTCCGAGTTATTTACTAGGAAATGTTTATCATAATGAATACTTAACTGTCTATCAAACATTCAAGTAACTTTCTGCATAACCTTTGGGATGATGTTTACATTTTAACAAAGCGTTTTGATTTTGAATTGCGCCCAGAAATTGTTTTGAAATCGTTTCTCAAGAGGCTGTTAAATTTAAATTGGTTATGCAGTAACAGTTCAGAAGAGTTTCATAAACAATAGTTGTATTTGAAAGTTACAGGAAGTCGATTGGATGAATAAGAGGCACCAGTGAAGATGTTTCATTTTCTATTATTTATGGGCTTTGTAGGCCATTACAGGCCTTAACAGAAGAGAAGTATGTGGAAAATTGTGTACGCTACCATTCAAAAGTTTGGGGTCAGAAATCTTTTTAATGTTTTATAAAGTCTGCATTTATCTGATTAAAAATACAGTAAAACAGGGATATTGTAAAATACTATTGCAATTTAAAATACATGTTTTCTATTTTAAAATATCTTAAAACTGAATTTATTCCTGTGATGTTAAAGCTGAATTTTCCAGTTTTCAGTGTCACATGACCCTTCAGAAATCATTAAAACATGCTGATTTGCTGCTCAAGAAACATTTCTTATTATCAATGTTGAAAACAGTTGCTTGCTGCTTAATATTTTTGGGAAAACAGCGATACACTTATTTAGAATTCTCTGATGAATAGAAAGTGTAAAAGAACAGCATTTATTTCTAAATCTTTTGTAATATTATTCATGCTTTTACTGTCACTTTGGTAAATTTTATGCATCTTTGCTAAAAAAGTATTCATTTCTATCCAAAAATAAAAAAATAAATCTTACGCACTGACACTAGTAAAGTTGATAACTTATTCTTGTGTATTTGAGTGTCAGGTAAAGATATATGTTGAAGGTATATGTTACCTGGAGAGCGTAGTTTATTCTGGCTTGCAGAGCGGGAGAGTGGGAGGCTCTGACGGAAACGGTTCATGCGGTTGAAGCCCAGCGGCATGTCGGCCTCAGACATGGTCTCCAGAGACTCAGCAGATGCGAAGGACAGTTTAGACGCCTGGTCTGCCAAACCCGACTGAGTGGACTGGGAGTGACGTGGACTACGGCTCTAAATGACAGAGAGAGCGAGAGAGAGAGAGAGATTTCCAGCATTTTAAATGGCATGATAAAAGGCAGACATTATTTACTCACAAGGAGAAACCAAAAGCAAATTCCTCCAACGAGAGTAAATTACACCTAAACCTCCCAAGTTTGTACTCAAGCTCAGGGTGAGAAAGTAAGGCAGATAAAAAGTACCTGATTCTCTGTTTGTGTAATGATGGGAAAAACAATGCATTGACAGGAAAATCACTCACACACAAACAAGTCTCTATGGATATGTCTCTACAAACAGACCGAGACGCTAACTATTACACAGAACAAAACAGTCTGCCTCACTATAGCATATACAGTAACGGTGAATCACACATCTGTGGATTTCTTGTCAGATGTTTCTGTTTATTTTGTAGCATTTAATAAAGAGGATCCACACAACCGCATCCTGGTGTGTTTCAAGAGCTCAGAGACACCTGTAATGAGCTCCCAGGGTGCACTGGGGAAAGACTGGCAAGCTGGTTTGCAGAGCAGGACACATCCACAGAGCGCCATCACCATACATCAAATCTATTCTCCTCTGTACTGCAAAAAATCTGCTTCTAAATCAGCATTTTCCCCTTTTTTAAAGCTGAACATATTTAAAACTAGACAAATTTATTTGAAAGTGCATTTGTGTAACAAATATTATTTTCAGAGAATATAAAACATTGTGCAAAAGTTTGGGTTCCTTAAGATAATTTAATGTTTTTGAAAACTCAACAAGAATGAGTTTATTTGATCAAAATAGAACAAAATTAATACTGTGACATTTTGATTATAATGTAAAATAACTGTTTCATTGTAATATATTTTAAAATGTAATTTATTATTGTGATGGCAAAGCTGAATTTTCCAGTAATTTGTCCAGTCTTATGATCCTTAATAATGTAATTACAATTGTTGGTTTGTTTTGTGAAAGTCGTTACTGTCATTTTGTATCCAATCAGACCCCAGACATTTCAACAGTAGTGTATATCCTGAATTACAGTTAATAAACAATAATTTTTTCTTTTTTCAACCATAAATTGAATAACATTTAGAGAAGTTTATACTAGATTTAATTCATGAAAAGTGAACAAAAACAAATCAGCTAATTCACATTTATAAAAATAAAACTTATAAAAGCAGTGTGTGTTATTTACACGCAAGGTAAAAGCTCAGACTCACACACATAAAAAATGCTGAGGCACAGAAGCAGTGCTGTGTCCGTTCCCTTGCAGACAGTGTCTGAGCACAAATGGGGCCAAGTTGAGCTGATAGATGACCCCCCAGTGTAACTATAATGGGGTCATTTATCCACAACAGAGAGCAGTCCGGTTGCTACTCATACACAAACGCACATACTTACATACATCTATAAAATAAGAGCTTGTTTATCCACACAAAGATACATAGCCAGTGGGGGGGGGGGGGGGGGGG